GGGGCTGGGGAAAGGCGACGACGGCAACGTGCGCTGAGGGCGCAAGAAGAGAAGGTTGGAATCAAAGTGGCGGGGTGAATGTCAAAATCTGCCCAGCCAGTCTGACATGCGGAACACTGCGCCTCAGTTCGGGGGATCTTGAGGGCCGGGGCAAAATGTGAATTCACATTGTGTGGAAAAGCAACATGTGACTTCATATTTTTCGGAATACGGAAAATGTGAATTCACATGTTGGAAAAGGAATGTGGATTCACATTTTGGAATTTTGTAGAGGAATCTTTCTGACGGGGCCAAAATGTGAATTCACATTTTGGGAAAAGGAACATGTAAATTCACATTTGGGGAATAAGGGAAATCTGAATTCACATTTTGGGAGAATCGCGGGGCCCAGTCCAAATCTGTCTTAGGGGTCGACCAGTCATAGTTTCGGAACATACGCGATCCTCAATCGCACAGTCAGGACACACTTGCACTCCACTTTGCCGCCCCACGCGCGATATGCATGAACGGTAATGGATGGACGGCGCGTTTGCCCGCGCGGGAAACGCGCGGGCACGAACGACTGGCCCTCCATGAACGCCAACATTGGATGCCAATCATGCCCGATCACAGAGCTGAGCGATACATGGAGCATGCATGGGCCATTCAGCCCCCATTGCAGGCCCCCTGTGGCAGACCCCATCTTTCACCCTCCACGCATCGAAAACATTGGAGCAGCCCGATGTGTCTAGGCTGGGAGGGGCGCGCTGCCGTGAACGGTTCGTTCACTCTGCAGGCCGCCGCGGGCGAGCAGACCGGTGGCCCTCGAGCGAGCTCGGGCGATGTGTAGGTGGTGGCGCAGAAAAGACCCTCTCCGCTCCTTCATCGTCCTCGATCCAGCTGCCCAGTCCCTCGAGCAACAGGCAGCATAGGCATCAACCTGGGGAGCTCCGCGCGGATTTCCTGGATATGCGCTGGGTCCTCCTGGCGGCGCCTCCGGCGCCACCACGTGCGCACTCCGCGCGCAAGGGAGGTGGGTCCAGCGCCGATTTGAGAAGTCCAGGCGGAGCTCCTAAAGTTTCTGTTTATGCCGCTTTGCGTTCGCCTCCTCTGCTTTTCCCCACCCGAGTGCATGGTGGCAAAATTCGCTACAACGGTATCCCCGTTCAGGTAGCCTTCCGCCACCGCAATCACCCTGCCTAGCCAACGACGCAAAAGTTTATGCCGTTTTGTTGTCCTGCTATTCTTGCTGCCCACTGCCTCTTGTGCTTGGTTGGTGGTTTCGCAAACGCAGCACCCACCGCAGCCCAGTGCCTACATCAGTTCCTGGCTCCAGCACTCTCAGTCGGGCTCGGCTCATGTGAGCTTTCGCATCCTGGTCTGCTTTTTTGCAGTTTGTTCCTTTTGTTCAACAGAGGTCTTCCACCTGTGAAGCGACAAAGTAACGTGAAGCCAGTGTTGACTAGCCAGTCGTTCGAGCAGTTTTGTCAGCGTGTGCCTTGCTTAGCGTTGCGCCGGCCATCTGCTTCATCTGCCCTGCCTTGCCCACGCGTGCGTGCCATAGTCGGGGCACTACTGGGGTACTTGGTCTCGGGAAGCGAGGTCATCCGCCGCGAGATGAACATCTTCCCGATTCGCTCTTGGAGGAGGATGGGAACAACAGGATGTCAGGAGGGGGAGGATGAGGAGAAGGAGGCGAATGGGGAGGAGGTGCGGGACGAGCATTCAGCCTCACAGGGGCAGCACAAGGCACGTGCGGGTCGACCTTGCTGAACCCTCGTGGTCATGGTTGATGATCAACTCCGGTCGTGGTCGGGGAACGTGTGCATATCCACGGCCTCGCGGGCTGGGTCCTGGGCCGCGACCCCATGGATGCAGGGAGCCCTTCGCGCGGATGCCCCGCGCGGAGCCGAGCCACGCGACCGCACATCCGCGGGATCGCGCTCCGGAGTCCAGGCCGCGAGGGCGTGGATGTGGATGCGCTCGTCGCCCGTGCCGGCTCCGGTGAAGGACGTGTGCGTGCGCAGCCCACGTGAGTGCACGCGCGGCAGAGGGCGGCGACGCGCACCGAGAAGAGGGCGTGCTCCGGGGGGCGGCGGCCGCCGCGGTGCCCTTCGGCGGAGGCCTCGGCGCCGCTGCCGTGGACCTTCTGCGCGTCCTGCTCGGTGGGGCCTCGGTGTGCACTCTCTCCAAAGGGGCTGGTCCCAGACCTGCGGGTGGTGCATGCACCGATTCCGTGCCACATGCAGCTGCCTCGATGCCCGATGGTCCAGGGCTTTTGGTTCGGGCCTGGCGGGTTGCGCCTAGCTGCGTGTGTTCGGCAGCCGGCAGCCCGACTTTGTACACGTCGTGTTGTGGACGTTGCTTGGTGCTGCGCGAGTGTCCTTCTCTTCCCTTTCCTTTTCCTGACCAAAGCATTAAGTCGTAGGAGGAGAGGAGGAGAAGGAGGAGGATGAGGACCAGTGCACCTCCAAGATTCATCAGCGATGTTGGAATATGCCCTTCCTCCAAGCTTCACTGTCATAGGCCCCTACACGGACCTATTTCCAAAGGGAAGTGTTGGAGACAACCTTCAAGACAACGAATCAACATGATTGTTGCGTGTGGACGATCCTGAATCGTGCCAGAACATTCTCCAGATTTCAGCACCACGAATCAACGTACGTGTCGCGCCCTGCCAATCTTGAGTCGCTCCATGGGAACCCGTGAAACTTCTGCAGCTTGTTAATGCGAATGTGCGCGGCTCTAAGGCCAGAGCCACATGTTGAAACCGACCCGCCCTCAATCCGTGAATTTCTTTCCATTCTTCAAAACGAATGTGCGCGGCGCCACGGCGAGAACCACATTTTGAATATCACCCGCTTTCAATCCGTGAAGTTCTTGCAAATCTTTACGACGAATGCGCGCGGCGCTAAGGCGATAACCACATTTTGAAAACGACCCGCATTCAATATGTGAAACTCTTTGCAATTTTGCAACAAATGTGCGCGGCGCTCATGCGAGAGCCGCATTTTGCAAGACGCCCACCCTCCATTTGTGAGACTGTTGCATATTGTCAAACTTCAGGATCAGAAGTGCTGAGGAAGTCTCAGGCGAAACGCCCGGCCTGCCCTTGAGGAGTTAGTTATAAGGAAAAGGAGGAGGAGGAAAAGGAGGAGGAGGAGGAAGAGGTGGAGGAGGAGGTGGAGGAGGAGGATGAGGAGGAGGAGGAGGAAGAGGAGACACAATAATAAGAGTAATACTAAGAAGATCACTAATAAGAGGAATAATACTAATCATGAAGAGAATACGAAGCATCTGGCAATAGTAAAAGGACTAATACGATGACCAATAACAAGAATAAGCACAATCATAGTAGTCGAAGAAGAGTAATACTACTAGTATCAATAATACTACTACTACTGAGACAGACAATAGCTACTACGAATACGCTCACTACTTGTGATATAAGAGGAAGCATCATATCAGTAATAGGAAGAGCAATAATAAGACTGATGAGGCTACTAATAACAAGCATAATGAGAAAATTAGCAATCATACATTATTATAACCATAATACTAAGAATACTACGAGGAAGAATAATAGCATGAGTACGAATCATATTGACACTAACGCTGTCAACAATATTATTGCTAATGCTAATAATACCACTACTACTACTAATAATGCTGATACCATTAATATTTTTGCTAATACTAATACGACGATGTTACTAATATTATTACTACTCATAGTAATAACAAGACTACTGCGAATACTAGTAACACTGATGTGAATCACATTACCACTCGTACTCCTAGTATTACTGATCGCTTTTTGTAGATCCATAATAACTGCATTACTGATATGATTAATACTACGAGTGAGATTACGAGTAAGACTATGAATGCTAATACTCATACCTCAATAGTCATATTACTACTACTACCACCACCACCACTACTAGTAGTAGTAGTAGTAGTAGTAGTAGTAGTAGTAGTAGTAGTACTACTACTGCTGATACTACTAGTAGTAGTAATATTATACGAATGACAGTACTACTCGTATTACCAATATCACTAATCACACTGATACTACTATTAAAACATGTAGTAATACGGTAAACACGACTAACAATGATATTTGTATGGCTATTACTATTAATACTCAACATACTAACACTCGTCTCACTAAGAATATGATTAATAACAATTGTAATAGTACTAATACTACGAATGCTAATACGAATAATAGGACGAGGAGGAGGAGGAGGAGGAGGAGGAGGAGGAGGAGGAGGAGGAGGAGGAGGAGGAGGAGGAGGAGGAGGAGGGAGGGAGGGAGGGAGGGAGGGAGGGAGGGAGCGAGGGAGGAGTCGGAGGAGGAGGAGTCGGAGGAGGAGACGGAAGAGGAGGAGTCGGAAGAGGATATTCGGAGGAGGAAGGGAGCCGTCTGTCTCTTCGGGGGCGGGCCGGGTGTGGGGCCGGGGCCAGGGCAGGAGCCGAGGCCCGCGGCCGGGGCCGAGGCCGAGGGCCAGTGCTCGGGCCGGGGCCGGGGCCGGGGCCAGGGCGGGAGCTGGGGCCGAGGCAGGGGGAGAGGTCCTGAGCTGCCCTGCCGACAGGGAGACCGCCCCCCTGTCCTCCTTCGCCCGGGGTGGGGGTCACGACCTCCAGGCCCTCCCCCGGGAACCCCTCTCAGGACCACCCCACAGGACCACCCTTCCCGGGACCTCCCCGGGTCCCTCCCCGGGACCCTCCGGACACCCCGATGGAAGGGACCAAAGTAAGGGGCTTCCCCTCGACGTAATGACGATATTGTTCGATCCCCTGTGTTTGTCGACGACGACGATTCAAAGGAGGCTGGCGTACTTCGGTCTTGGTTGGGCTGGCCTCGCGTCGAAGAGTCTCTCTACCACGCCGATTGGGTCGGCGGATTCGTCATCTCCCTCCCTCTGTGTGCACACATATACCTTATTACCCCCTCCTTGCAGTCCCCTCCCTGCCCCTGCCTCGTCCACGGTTTCCTCCTCGCTCGTCAGCCACAGGCGCGGAATGCGACAGCTTCTGGCACGTCCCCGTGGACTTCATGCTCGCGCCTCTGCCGCCGTTCGTGGGCCCCTCCTGCCGCGCGATTGCTTTCATGGATCATGCGCCACCTCCTCCTCCTCCTCTTTTTCCTCCAGTCCTTTTCCTTATAAGCCTCATAACTCCTCCCTGTCGCACCCCGAGGCCGGTCGAAAGGTCGGGTTGGCGTTTCGCCTGAGACTTCTTCACCATTCATGACCCTGAAGCGTAGAACCTGGGAACAGTTTCACGGATGGAGGGCCATTCGCTTCCAACATGTGGCTCTCGCTGGAGCGCCGTGCACATTCGGTTTAAACATTTGCAATAGTTTCACGGATTGAGGGCGGGTTGTCTTCGCAGTGTGGCTCTCGCTTTAGCGCCGCGCACCTTCGTTCAAAACAAATCCACGAGCTTCACGGATTGAGGGCGGATCCTTTTCAAAATTTGGTTCTCGCTTTAGCGTCGCATGTTTTCGTATTAAACATTTGCAAGAGCGTCACGGATTGAGGGCGGGTTGTTTTCAAAATGTGGTTCTCGCCTGAGCGCCGCACATATTCGTATTAAGCATTTGCAAGAGCTTCACGGATTGAGGGCGGGTTGTTTTCAGAATGTGGTTCTCGCCTCAGCGCCTCGCACACTCGTTTTAGAGCATTGCAAGAGTTTCACGGATTCTCATTGTCAACGTGCCAGGTTTGTGTTTTGGAACGATTCAGGATTGTGAAGGCGCAACACTTACGTTGATTCGCGGTGTTGAAGTCCTATGAGTGGTGTTCTGGCACGATTCAGGGTCGTCAAGACGCAGTTATGTTGATTCGTGGCGCTGGAGTCCTGATCATGGTGCTTTGGCACGCTTCAGGGTCTTCAATCGGTTGTCTCCCAACAAAGCAGTTCCCTCAGCGGAAATGGAAACTTGTAGAGGCCTATAAAGAAGTAGCTTGGAGGGAGGGTTTATTCCAACATCATTGATGAGTCTTGGGTTTTTACTGGTACTCTTCCTCCTCCTCCTCTCCGTCCGCCTCTGTCGCTCTCAGACCAATGATCAACTGTGTGGTCCTCGTCCGTCGTCCTTCTCCTACACCTTCCCCCCTCCGCTTGATTCTCCCCCTCCCTACTCGTGGCGTGACGTACCACATGGCACTAGACCCATTTTTGCACGCTCGCTTTTCTCACGATCCCTTTCAATCAACTGGACGAAGATCGTCCAAGTGAGGTGCCTCGCCCATCGCGGGGCTGGCCGGGTGGTATCTCTCTTTGCGCCCTGATTTTGAAAATAGGACACGTCTGCCGCACACGTCTGTGCCACTCCAAGTGCACCTTTCAGGTGAGCTTCGACACAGAGAACATGTGGAGAAAACGGATGTTGAACTGGACGCCGTGGTTCTGGACATAAGCCAACGATCTATCGGAGGACCTCGTCTGAGATGGAGGGACTCGTTGGATGCGTGAATTGACCTTCCTGGCGCGTTTCACCAGATGCACTTTTCACCCTCGATAGATGCTCGTCTGCCCCTCAGGGGGCCGCTCTGGCCACCAGAGCTTGCATGCACCACATGGATAGCGGATTTGCGTTTCTCCCTTCTTCTCCACCGATTTTCTCGGGGCCGGTCCAGTTTGGACCCCCTGGCCCCCTGGAAGCTCACCTACACAAAGCCAGCATCAGCGACTCTTTCCGAGTGGTGGTTCTCACGCGAGTCCGCGCACGCATCCCATTTTTGAGGCCACGGCCTGCTTTTTTGTCGCAGCGGCGAGGCTCCACACCGCGTTCGAAAGCAGCCGAGGGATGCAACGGGGCCTCATTGGGCATAGCAGGCGAAGGAAGAGACGGAGCGCGCGGAAAGGGAGAGGAGCTCGCTCAGTTCAGTTCAGTTCAGTTCAGAAGCCTTGCGTCCGGACGGCGCGCGAGCAGGGTGAGACCGTGAGCAGCCAAACTGCTCATGAGAGGGGTGTGCTGTATTGGCATCGGCCGAGCAGGGTGAGACCGTGAGCAGCCAAACTGCTCATGAGAGGGGTGTGCTGTATTGGCATCGGCCGCTCGTGTTAAACACACGAGGGAGAAGGAGGAGGAGGAGGAGGAGGAGGAGGAGGAGGAGGAGGAGGAGGGGGAGGAGGAGGAGGAGGAGGAGGAGGAGGAGGAGGAGGAGGAGGGAAGAGGAGGAGGATGATGATGAGGAGGAGGAGGAGGAGGAGGAGGAGGAGGAGGAGGAGGAGGAGGAGGAGGAGGAGGAGGAGGAGGAGGAGGAGGAGGAGGAGGAGGAGGAGGAGGAGGAGGAGGAGGAGGAGGAGGAGGAGAGGAGGAGGAGGAGAGGAGGAGGAGGAGGAAGAGGAGGAGGAGGAGGAGGAGGAGGAGGAGGAGGAGGAGGGGGGAGGAGGAGGAGGAGGAGGAGGAGGAGGAGGAGGAGGAGGAGAGGAGGAGGAGGAGGAGGAGGAGGAAGAGGAGAGGAGCAGGAGCAGGAGGAGGAGGGAGGAGGAGGAGGAGGAGGAGGAGGAGGAGGAAGGAGGAGGAGGAGGAGGAGGAGGAGGAGAGGAGGAGGAGGAGGGGGGGGGAGGAGGAGGAGAAAAGGAGGAGGAGGAGGAGGAGGAGGAGGAGGAGGAGGAGGAGGAGGAGGAGGAGGAAGGAGGAGGAGGAAGGAGGAAAGGAGGAAGGAGGAAGGAGGAAGGAGGAAGGAGGAAGGAGGACGAAGGAGGACGAAGGAGGAGGAAGGAGGAAGGAGGAAGGAGGAAGGAGGAAGGAGGAAGGAGGAAGGAGGAAGGAGGAAGGGGGAAGGAGGAAGGAGGAGAGGAGGAGGAGGGGGAGCTCGCTCAGAACAAATTTTCGAACGTGCTCACGGCACGCACGGCATTGCTCCTCGGCACGCGCGCGACGGTTTCTACGGTCTGAGTGCCCCTCCATCCCGCGCCCCCTCTGGCCTCCCCACTTTGCACTCCCTGAGTGTCTAGCCGTGCTCCGGCGCGTCCCGCCGCCCCGCCTGCCGCCGCTTGGACCGACCTCTCGCGGCCGCAGACCATCAAAAGGTGCTGGCGCACGGCGCGCACAGCGGAGACGTAGCTTTCCGTGGAGGAGAAGAACTCGAGCCTGGGGCCGCAATCTAGGGCGTTGCCAGGAAGCGCAGCAGCACGGCATGCGCTGGGGCCGCGGCCCACGCACCACGCCCCGAAGGGCACGGCTGGGCTCTCCGCGTACAGCGTAGCGCGCGGCTATAAGCGCCCGCTTCGCTTCGCGTCGCCCTTCTCAGCGCGGCAGCGCAAGAGCGTGGGTGCAGGTGTGTGGATTCAGGACGGGTCCCGTTTCGATGCCGCATCGGCGCGGTCCCTCGCCGAGTCGGGCTGCTTTGGCTTTGTGTTTCGGGTGGGGGAGGAGGACGAGGAGGACGAGGAGGCAGGATGAGGAGGAGGAGGGGGACCTGTATAAACCCAGGACGCATCAAGGATCTTGCGATAACCCCTCCCTCTAAGTTTTATTTCCATCGGCCAAGGGTTCTTGTTCATTGAAGGCAGTGCCCCGTTGGAAGACAACAGTTGAAACATCCGGCACTGTGCCAGGGCACCATTCCTGGAACTTCAACGCCGCGAATTACCGCTATTGTTGCGTCCCGACGATCCTGAACCGTGCCAAAACACCGTTCTTGGGATTTCAACGCCGCGAATCAACGTAAGTGTTATTCCCTGACAGTCCGGCATCGTGCCGAGTTTTTTTGTAGGGGCGTTGGCCATGAGAACCCATGAAGCTGTTGTGAACTCTTAAAACGAATCTGCGCGGTGTTAAGGCCAGAGCCACATTTTGAAAAGGAGCCGCCTTTCATCTGTGACCCTCTTGCACTTTTGAAACACGCATGCGCGCGGCGCTAAGGCGGGCGCAACATTTTTCAAAGGAACCGCCTTTTTGAAGACGGGTGTGCGCGGCTCCACGGCGAGAGCTACATTTTGAAAGCGGCCCGCCTTCCATCCATGAAGCTCTTTACAAATATGTAGAGTGCATTTGCGCGGCGCTAAGGCGAGAGCCAACTTTTGAAACTAGCCCGTTCTCCATCGGTGAAGGTCTTGCAAAATTCAGGGTTAAGGGTCATAAGCGGTGAGACAGTCTCAGGCATAACGCCCAGGTTGCCTTACATATTCGCCCTGGGGTGCGATAGGGAGGAGTTACTTCTAAGGGAAAGGAGAGGAGGAAGAGGAGGAGGAGGAGGAGGAGGAGGAGGAGGAGGAGGAGGAGGAGGTGGAGGGGGAGGAGAAGGAGGAGAGTAGGAGGAGGAGGAGAGGAGGAGGTGGAGGAGGAGGAGGAGGAGGCGGAGGAGGCGGAGGAGGAGGGAGGAGGAGGAGGAGGACAAGGGGGAGGAGGAGGACAAGGGGGAGGAGGAGGAGGAGGAGGAGGAGGAGGAGGAGGAGGAGGAGGAGGAGGAGGAGGAGGAGGATCAGGAAAGGTGGGGAGAGGATGGCCCCATCGTGTTCTGCGCAATCAGGCAAGGGAGTTGCTCTTCTCACGGCGTCGACCCCCCGGAGTTCTGGACCACTTCACTGAGACCGGTCTTCATCCCTGGCCGTTCTGCTGACGGCCCATTTTGGCCCCTTGCCAGCACCAGCTTTTCATCTTGAGTCTTTTCGTCTTGACGGTCCTGGGGTCCGGCGAGGGGCCCCAGAGGCCAGAAATTCACAAAGAATTATCCAGGCGAAGGACCCAACCATAAGAAATTGTTCGTAACGCGTTGTGGGTGCCGCCTTCGGTGGAGCTCCCTATGGGGCCACGAAACGCTGCCCAGGGCGGGGGAACCGCATGCGAACTGCGCCACGGGGGCCTTCGGTGGAGCTCCCTATAGGGCCACGAAGCGCTGCCCTGGGTGGGGGAACCGCATGCGAACTGCGCCACGGGGGCCTTCGGTGGAGCTCCCTATGGGGCCACGAAACGCTGCCCAGGGCGGGGGAACCGCATGCGAGAGCAGCCACAGGGGCCTTCGGTGGAGCTCCCTATGGGGCCACGAAGCGCTGCCCTGGGTGGGGGGACCCGCATGCGGGAGCAGCCACTGGGGCCTTCGGTGGAACTCCCTATGGGGCTACGAAGCGTGTGAGAGGTGTGCCGAGAGCAGAGGCAAGGAGGGGGAGGAGGGAGGAGGGAGAGGAGGAAAGAAGGAGGGGGAGGAGAGAGAGGAGGATGAGATGATGTCGATGCTGGTGACGCGTCTTCGACTTAGCGACGACGCGTGATGACGATGTTGGGCTGCGATGTAATGCCACGATCGTTCTCACTATCGATCTCGCTTTCGATCTGACTCTCCATCTCACTATAAATCTCACTGTCGATTCCTCTATCGATCTCACTATCGATCTCACAACCGAAGTCACAATCAACCTCACTGTCGACGTACTTTTGATCTCACTATCCATCCAATCACAGCGATCTCATCATCGATCTCACTATCGTCTTCACTATCGATACCAAGACGGGACACCCCCGGCCATCGCCCTCCCACCGCTGACGGAACACCGACGGAACACCGACGGGACACCAACGGGACACCCACGGGACACCCACGGGACACCACGTCAGAACACCCTGGGCCACCGCGCGCCCACCAGGGCGGAGGGGCGGTCCACTGCATCCGAGTCGCCTTAGCGACGGTGGGGTCATTCATTTCGCGCGCCCGCGCAGCTTCGCCTCGCCCGCACGCACGACACAAACACGAAACCGAAACCGATGTCCCGGTGGGGGGCTCTCCGTTTCACTGCGATCTCACCCCCCAACCGAAATTTCGGAGCTCCGCTGGGATTTTTTTGATCTGTGCTGGGCCCCCTCCCTGGCGCGCGGAGCGTGTCAGGGGCGACGCCCAAGGCGCCGTCAGGGGGGTCAGCGCCGATCCAAGAGATCCGCGCGGAGCTTCGACAGTTGACGTTTCGTCCCTCGAGAAAGTCGCTGAATCAACCACCTGCCGGTCTGAGTGTGGAGAGCTAGGGTTCAGTCGGGCCTGTCCCTCTACAGGGGGAATGCTCAAACATGGTCAACAAAATAGTCTGGGACGATTTTTCTGCTAGTTTTTTGACCATTTGGGGGGTATTTTTTGAGTACCTTTTTTTTTCCGTCCAAGATCCCCCTGCAGGGGGACAGGCCCAGGGGTGGCGGGAGTCGGGGAAGCGTAAGACCCGGGTTTGCCGGGACTCGGGTTCGCCATCGTTTTTTGACGACCGCGACTCGGATTTTGACGAGGAGGAGTTTCGTGGGATGTCTGCAGCGGGAGGCCTCGTCAAAATGCAGGCTCGGCCTCGTCATTTTTTTGACGACCTCGTGGGGGATTTCCGAGTCCCCCGCACCCGGGTCTTACGTCTCCCCGAGGGAGGCCCAGGTCGAAGCTGGGCCTCCTGGCCGGCGGCGCCGCCCTGGTGCTGGCGGTGGCCGCCTCGCTGGGCGGGGCGCCGCTGGGGCGGTCGCCGGCGCGGTGGGCCGTGAGGTCCCGGGGGCGGCCGCGGGGGAGAGGGGCGGGTCCTCGAGAGTAGAATTCACCACCCACCAAAGCACCCCAACCCAACCCGAAGGCCTCAATTTGCCCTCCATTTCCAGTTTGGGGGGGTCGGGGAACATCGAAAAAACACGTATGGAACCCGTACCCCCCCCCCAACCCGAAATTCGGGTCTTCGGGTTGGGTTGGGGTGGTCTGGTAGGTAGTCAAGAATGAAGTCGGGCCTGTCCCTCTACAGGGGCGGCCGCGAGGGAGAGGGGCGGGTCCTCGAGAGTACACCCTAGACGATGCTTAAGAAGACGTAAGTTTTCGTCCAGAGTCTCGATGATTCTTAATTTTTCAATGCGAATCCTAAAAATTCAGTAGAAAGTTTGTGTTTTTATTCAAATTCTGAGACTATGAATTTCTTAACCCATGGTTTCTTGAGCATTTCGCAGGGTGTAGAATGAAGTCGGGCCTGTCCCTCTACAGGGGGGATATTTTCAAAGAAAAAATCAAAAAATAGTCTGTGGACGATTTTTTGAGCATTTTGCTGCTCATTTTGGGGGGTATTTGTCGGAGTATGTTTTGATTTTGTCGTCCAAGATCCCCCTCTGTAGGGGGACACGCCCGACTTAAGAGTAGAACAGAACCCTTGCCCTCACGTGCACAGTGAAGACGCGGCCTGACTCGGGTCCCCGTCCGTGCATGAGAAATGATTGCTCTTCCTGGTTCGGTATGGTGCAACTGCGGAAAAAAAGACTCCCGATCCCTGATGTTTTGGGCCTCGTAACTCAGGCCCGCTCCCAAAGGGGTAGGGGTGGCTGGAGGGAGAGTGTCTCGCTGTGTGATAGCCGACCCAGAACCAAACCTCTGGCAGCACGTTGGGGCAAGGTTTTGTCAAGCAGGGGCATGCCTCTTCCCAGCCCCCCCCGCTATGCGATGTGGACGTGGCTCATGATTAACGATGTGGCGACAGCGAGGTGTCAACTTGTGCCTGGCATGGCCGGCATGGGCCGTCATGTTTTTGGTTAGGGGTCGATAATCACGCAACCAGGGTCGGGCTCCCAAACTCTAAGCCTCCCAGATGGGGTCGGAGTGGATTGGGTCGGAGTTTCGCGCCGTATTGCTCCGATGCATCGGCGATGCGGCTCGATGTGGACCCCGATTTTCTCCACGCCGATGGCGCCGATGCATCACCGACGTCGCTAGTGCATCGCCAATGCATCGCCACTGCTTCGCCGATGCATCGGCGATGCGGCGCGATCCTCCGACCCCATGTGCTCCGACCTTATCTAGGAGGCCTGCACGAACGTTGTGGTGACCACACTGTGTGGCGAGTCACTGGGGAATTCGGACAGGCTCAGGGGCTCGAGGATATAGGTACCAGATAATTTTCGTAGGTTCTCGAAGGTTTTCGCGCCTCGGGATGCTTTCCAGCAGCTGTGCCTCTCTGGAAACCAAGCGTTCGGCGGAGGGCTGTGTGGTGAGTCAGTGGGGATTCTGGGTGACCGCGGGACTTGGGCCGTTCTCCGAGGATGTCTCAGGCGGCCAGGGCCCCCGAGGGCTCAAGACCGTCGAATGACGGACCGTGCGGTGAGACCCCTCGGGATCTCGAGGTCACCGCACGGCCCGTCACCACACGTTTTCTTCACTATGTTTTTTTCGCGGCGTCGGACCTCAGGGGCGTGGAAAGGAGGTGTTAAGGAGGGCGGCGTGGTGGAAGAGGAGGATGAGGAGGATGAGGAGGAGGAGGAGGAGGAGGAGGCATTTGCCTAACATTTTCCGCACTTTCTTGCATTGTTGGCCACCGCGCCTAAGTCGGTTTATTCATATTTGCCTTCTTTCTTTATCATCCAGCCGTAACAGCTGCACAGCTCATGTCCGCTCAGCAGAAGGAGGAGAAGTAGGATGAGGATGAGGATTAGGAGGATCAGGAGGATGAGGAGGTCGAGGAGGATGAGGACGAGGAGGAAGAGGTGGAGGAGGAGGACGAGGAGGAGGAGGAGGAGCAGGAGGAGAAGGCAGCTGAGGAGGCGGACGGGGAGGCGGAGGCGCAGGAGGCGGATGAGAAGAGGAGGGGGACAATGGACGATGGGGGAGACGAGGGAGCAGCACGTCAAGGCATCGTGAATATGGATGAGGGCGCGTGGGTTCGCAGCGGGCCCCGTCTCACACCAAATCCTGGCAGGGAAATTCCGGAGGCCTCGCGCGGCGCGCAGTAGTTGTCGTATCTAGTCCACACGTCCGCCCCGTCAGATATGGGACTACGTTCGCGCGGCGACGCTTCCTCGTGAGTCCGGCGTGAATCCGACGCAAGTCCGACGTGCATCAGACGTGGATCCAGCGCAAACCGGGTATCAAGTTGCCGCGCGAGCCCGCCTCAGGGTCTTCCTCATGAAAATGTCGGCCCTCCCGCCTCGGCGCCGCAAGCGCCCCCCCCTGTGCAAACAACGACGCCTCCGCTCTATGATGCTTACCTAGTCCATGTTGAACATTAAATATTAGAGCCTTACTAGTGTGGGACACCTACATCCGCACTGGCGTCCTCGCCTCGGCGCCAGCTGCATTTCTTTTCAACATTCGGCTCACGCTCAGGCATTTCGCGGTTGCGCCGAAACCGGCCCCCAACAACAACAACAACGACGACGACAACAACAACAACACCAACACCAACAACAACAACACCACCAACAACAACAATACTACTACTACAAATAATAGTAGTAATACTAAGAAAATAATAATACTAATAAGAAGGAACATAACAACACCACCACCAACAACAACAACTCTTCCGCTCGATACTTCCTCCTTTTCTACTCGGGACCGAGGCTCTTGCTCGCCTCCGAAGCTGGCTTTCCAACACAACTGGCGCTTTCGTTCGATACTTCCTTTCTTTTTGATTTAATCGCTTCGCTCATGCCGCGGGCCCATCTTGCATCACTGGTGCTATATGTTTGTGTGTTCGTGGCGAGCGAAAAAGGGGGAGGAGGACGAGGAGGAGGAGGAGGAGGAGGAGGAGGGCGGACGAGGAGGAGGAGGAGGAGGAGGAGGAGGAGGGAGGAGGAGGAGGAGGAGGAGGAGGAGGATGAGGAGGAGGAGGAGGTGGAGGAGGAAGAGGGGTGGATGAGGATGAGGCGGAGGTCGCTGGAGGGCTCTTTGTGTCAATCTGGGGCGAAGCTGGTCATGGACAAGGCGCCTCTTCTGTGAGTCGCTCGGGGTCTTCTCGGAGGCTTCTCGAGGGCCTCGTGGCGGCATGTTTGTGATATATCCTGGGTGTCTCGTGGGAGCCTCTCGGGGGCCTCCTGGGGCTTCTGGGGGGCCTCTTGGGGGCCATCTGGGGCCTCCTGGGGGCCCCTCGTGGCCGAGACCTCGCAGTGTCCATTCGGGTCCCCCGTGAAGGCCCGCTCTTGGAGCCGTCTTGGGATCCTCTTCGGCCATCCTGGAGGCCTCTGGGGCTGTCTTGGGGCCCTCTGGGGCCGTGTTGGATGCTTTTGGGGGAGTCTTGGCCCGTGTCGGGGCGATTCTGGAAGCCTCTTGGGCCGTCTTGGAGCGCTGGTAATCCGAGAAGGCGAGGACGCCAAAAACCCTTCAATTATTCACTGCGTGGGGATCCCCATATGTGCATCTCCTTGCTGGCGCTCCCTTGGTGGTGGGACTCGGTGAGGACGAATCTGGATTTAAGTGTGACTGAGCTGCCTCTCTCTCTGCTCTCTCTGCTCTCTCTGTCTCTCTCTCTCTCTCTGCCCTCTCTCTGTCTCTGCATCTCTTTCCCTGCCTCTCTCTCTCTCTCTGCCCCTCTCTCTGCCTCTGTCTCTCTGCCCCTCTCTCTCTCTGCCTCTCTCTCTGTGCCTCTCTCTCTCTGCCTCTATCTCTGCCTCTCTCTCTCTCTCTCCTCTCTCTTCTCTCTATTCTCTCTCTGCTCTCTCCTCTCTCTCTCACTCTCCCTCTCTCTCTCTCGCTCTCTCTCTTCTCTTCTCTTCTCTTCTCTTCTCTTCTCTTCTCTCTCTCTCTATCTCTCTCTCTCTTTCTCTCTCTATCTCTCTCTCTCTCTCTCTCTCTCTCTCTCTCTCTTTCGCTCTCTCGCTCTCTCTTGCTCTCTCTCGCTCTCTGTCGCTCTCTCTCGCTCTCTCTCTCGCTCTCTCGCTCTCACTCGCTCTCTCTCGCTCTCTCTCGCTCTCCCTCGCTCTCTCCCGCTCTCTCTCTCTCTCTCTGCTCTCTCTCTCTCTCTCGCTCTCTCCTCTCCTCCCTCTCTCTCTCTCTCTCCTCTCTCTCTCTCTCTCTCTCTCTCTCTCTCTCTCTCTCTCTCTCTCTCTCTCTCTCCCCCCCCCTCTCTCTCCACTTTCTCTCTCTCTCTCTCTCTCTCTCCTCTCTCTCTCTCTTCTATCTCTATCTCTCTCTCTCTCTCTCTTCTCTCTTCTCTCTCTTCTCTCTCTCTCTCTCTCGCTTCTCTCTTCTCTCTTTCTCTCGCCTGTCTCCTCTCTCAACTCCCCCTCTCTCTCTCTCTATCCGCTCTCTCTCTCTCTCTCTTTCTCTCTCCTCTCCCTCTCTCTCGCTTCCTCTCTCTCTCTCTCTCTTGCCCTCTCTCTCTCTCTCTCTCTCTCTCTCTCTCTCGTCACGGGCTCGTGAGATCAGCCAGGGTGGCTCCCCCTTGGGGCTCCCAAATGATGCCCCTGGCAGCGTTTTGCGACCATGAGGCTCTCAAGAGATACATGTTGGGGGCGCCAAACGGCAATTCTAGCTGAGACGTCCCACCAAAATCGGCGCGAACGGGCTCGTGAGATCAGCCAGGGTGGCTCCCCCTTGGGGCTCCCAAATGATGCCCCTGGCAGCGTTTTGCGACCATGAGGCTCTCAAGAGATACATGTTGGGGACGCCAAACGGCAATTCTAGCTGAGGCGTCCCACCAAAATCGGCGCGAACGGGCTCGTGAGATCAGCCAGGGTGGCTCCCCCTTGGGGCTCCCAAATGATGCCCCTGGCAGCGTTTTGCGACCATGAGGCTCTCAA